GCTGGGGCTGACAGCGGAAGCTCACGCCGCTCCCCGGAATCGAACCTGCGACCTTTCAGTCAACAAGCTCAGGAGCTCAGCGCTTTAACCCAGTGCACTACTGGGGGCCTTCAAGAAAAATATTGTGTTTTCTGAAGATCTTTGCCAACCACTGTGATACCCCCTCGCAATTCCCCCAGGGGTCCCGACCCCCAGGTTGAGAAACACTGATGTAGACTGTAGAATTAACACAGTTTGATACTACTTTGACTGTGAAGGCTCAGTGCAATGGGATACTGGGAGTTATAGCTCAGTGAGGCACCAGCCTTCTTTAGCATTTGCTTCTAAAACTATGACTGCCAGCATTCCATAGCATGAAGCCATGACAAAGTGTTGTCAAACTGCTTTAAATTCGACAGTGTAGAGGCAGCTTGAGAGCCTATAGTCAACTTTGACCTTGAGGATGTGGTGATTCCTGGAGATAATGAAATTCAAGAAAAACCCCTTGCAAATGTGAAATATCGACTGTATTTCAGAGAGGGAAAGATTCAAGGCAAATTGGAACGGATAACCTCTAAGAAACGAATCAGAATGTAGAAGGGAATTGGGAACAAAAGCCAGTTACGCTAAAGATGCTCAAAGAGATCAGAAAGGGAACTCATCACAAAAAATGTCACCAACAGATCAAAGGCAGCCTCCTTGAAGGAAGATTTAATGGAAAGGCTTAGGAACCAAGCGTGACTCAATATCTTCATGTCAAAATGTTGTCAAAGCCATAGGAAGAGGCAGGATCTATGGCTAAGATATGCTTTGTAAATATAGAGAAACAGGAAGGGATTGGGAGAGAGAAAGGCCCACATATCAAGAAGAAAGGGGTGGGAGATTCGATTTCAGGGCAATCCAGGCGTAGCTCAGTTCATGAAATAGATGTGTTCCTGAGCATGGCGTCATTAATGGAAAACGTACTTACTTACTTAGGCGATTCTTCACTGTCCGAGTAGTATAGTCTTCCAAGATCAGTGTCCTTGCGGTGGGTCCGTAGGTG